ATACCTCTCCCGATACCAGTACTATATTAGCAGGACGGCGTTATAAACTGTAGAAAGAGACAGCGATCTGGGTGTATGGACGACCACAAATCCAATGTCATCAGAACACCGTAGAATGATGGTCCAGAAGACAACTAGTACTTTGCATTTGGTCAGATATGCATCTAAAATATTCCCTCCGAAAATCTTTGGAAAACTTTTGGCGTCTGTGTAAGACCTCATCTGGAGTATGGAATGCCAGCAGCTTCATCATGGATGAACAAGGATATTGACTTACTTGAATAGGTGCAACGCAGAGCAACGAAGATAGTCGATGGTCTACAGCATTTGCCTTACCAGAAAAGGCTGAATTTTCCTGGCTTATTCCTTCTCTCTTATAGGGAACTAAACTGCAGTCCACTCTGCACATTTCGAATTTTCCGTGCCCAAGGTTGTTCATTAAGAACGGGAAACTTTTTTGAGTTTGCCCACACAAACTAATTACGCAGTCATCCTTACAAAGTCGTGAATGAACGCACGCGGCTGCACCGTAGAAAGTTTCCATTCAGCCAGCGGGTTGTCCGACCGTGGGACTCGCTACCAAGCGAGATCATGACGGTCGACACAATCTGCATGTTTAAAAGACAACCTTAATAAAATTGCTTTATTTATTTATTGTCGACATAAACCAGCTTCTACAACATGACTACTAACAGCCATTTCTGTAAAACATTGTCATGCATAATCTTTCCGTACTGATTTACAGTGAACAGACACACTTCCTTACTATTACAACTGTACTGTGACCCGATCACAGGGATGTGTCTTTTTCATATTTAATACTTACGATAGTTATATGCTAAATTCCAAATTAAGCTTTTTATGTGAAATGTATGTGTTGCAAATGAAGCAGTAAATAAACTCTTGAACTGAAAGCCAAAACAATAAAGGGAATTGAGTTTCTGGGCGAGTTCTACAAGATAAAATAACTGCTTCAATAAGAGCAGGTTCACCTTAAAAATAGAGTATATTTACAAAGTCAGACCAACTGTTTAATTCCTTACTAGTTTGGGTTAGTTGGCTAGTTAGTTGGCATCTGTTCGAGTACAAAGCATTCGGACTTGTTTTCTGGCAGGATTTACTCGGACATTTTCAGTCTTAAGATCGTTAGATTGCTCGCTAGAGCATGTGAGAATCAACAATATTAAGGAATGAGAAGGACAAAGTATGATAAAGTATGATGAACGGACACACACCGATCGTACTAGCGGCGGTGGTTGCCTTCTTTACATCAGAGCCTCACTTGCACAGTCGCCTTATGACCTGAACATTTCCTCCTTCTCTGGAAATTTATGTATCGCTTCGGTAATCCTTCCGCAAAATAGGAAAGCCTTAGTCGGATGTGTATATAATCCACCTTGTTCCTCCGGAACTAAAAGCCAGCTCTGTGAACTCATTGAAAAAATTGCAGAGACCCCTTTCGATGCCAAGATAATCGTAGGCGATTTTAATTTGCCCGAAATCGACTGGCACACACAAATTTCATCTCCCAAATTCCAGAAGCTGCTTGAAACCATTTACTTTTCAAACTTATCTCGATTAGTCCACTCTTCGACCAGAAAAGATAGTGTTTTAGAATTAATTTTCAATAATGGCACCTTGCCTCTATCTATGGATTTCTATCATGACCTTTTCGCAAGTGATCATGCATTAATTCATTGTCGCCTTCCAGTTGCCATTTCCGCAAAGCCAACAGTACAACGCAGCATTTTTGACAAGGAATTAGTAAATGACTTTACAAGCACTCTTGATTGGCGCAATATTTTTCAAATAATGATCTAAATTTTTTCAACAATTTATTACAATGCGTAACAGAAGGTCTTCTTGACCTTATTCCTCGGAAGATATTCAAATCGAGTGCTAATTCCACTGCTGTCCCACACTTTCTTAAAAACAGACTTAAAAAGCTATGGAAGCAGTTTAAAGATCCTTCTGTGAGCTCATTGTCAGTTCATCTAAGAATCGTCGAAATATTTGAATTAGCTTCGAAAATGAGGCTCGCGCGAGATAGGCGTAGAGAGTCTTTAGCTATTAATGACGTGAATGCTTCTAAATCAGTTGCTCAGATCTTCCGTCAAAGATCATCTGCTAAGTGCCACCAAGTCATTCCGCCTTTGCTTAGTACCAACGATGCCCTTAGTACAGAGGAGTCAGGCAAAGCAGAAATGTTAAATTCATTCTTTGCCAAACATTTCACCATTGAAAATGACCCAATCCCTTTAATTCCTCCGTTGTCTAATGCTTCTCTCAGCATCATTAATTTTTCTCCTGAAACTATTCAAAAACTGATATACCATCTTCCTAACTCTCACTCAGTCGGTACGGACAATGTCCCAAACTCTCTTATAAAACAGCTAAGAGATTTTCCTCCTCTGTTTAGCAAACTCTTTTCAGTATTTCTCGTAAATGGCTTCTTTCCCGACTAGTGGAAAACTTCTATTATTATTCCAGTATTTAAGTCTGGCTGTCGTTCTGACGTTCAGAACTATCGAGGTGCCCATAAAACGCCTTCTCTCGCTAAAACCTTTGAAAAAATTATCGCCTTAAAAATTACTGACTTTTGCATAGCCAATCGAGTTATTAGCCCTTCCCAGCATGGTTTTTTTACCACATCGCTCTTGTGAATATGCCATCTGTCGTTTCTCAATCTACTTCTCTTCGTAATGACCACCTATCTGTTGTCGTTATTTATTTTGATCTTAGTAAAGCCTTCGATAAAGTACCACATAAAAGACTCTTGGTTAAATTGGAAGCAAAGGGAATTCGCAGTCCACTAAAAGACTTTTTCAGGTCATACCTGTCTAATCGTAAACAACAGGTTTTAGTGAGATCTTCACTTTCCAGCGAAAGCCCTATTATAAGCGATGTCCTACATAGCACCGTTTTAGGTCCTCTTTTGTTCCTGTTTTAAATAAACGATATTTCGGCGACAGTTAAACATTCTCAATCATTTAGTTATGCCGATGATCTCAAATGTGTATATTCTTTCAACAAATCTTCGAGCCTTCATTGCCGGGAGCAAATCCATGCTGACTTGCTTGCGCTCTCAGCTTAGAGCTCAAAATGGCTAATGGAATTCTCTCCGTCTGAATGTCGCTCTATGTGATTTGGACCTGATAG